ATTTGCAGGTGGTTATTGCTGCTTATGGTTTTGGAATTTGCAGTTGCTTTTGCTGCTGCTTAGGATTTTTCTCCATTTGCAGTTGATGGTGTTCCCGTTGTTGGTGAGTGTTGGTGATGATGATTCCGTAATTTGTTAATGGGAATCCTTCGGGAGCTTAACCCACCAATATGGTGTTGTAGATTTTTGATCTCTACTTCTCTTTCTATTGTCTCATTGTAGTTTTTCTCTTTGATCACTTTCCACTGTGGAACAACAAACTTTGGTACCGCCAATTGCTCTATGAACTGACGGTAAGAGGTTTGAATTTTTTATTGATGAAACTTTTCAATGCGTCTAACCTCATTGATAATGGAATGCTCTTTCAATAGTTTAGAAATTTCGTCCTCAAAACATGTTTAGATATTTGCTATTGTATATTTTGATGCAATTTAACTTAACTATGTACCTCTATAGTAGATGGGGACAAAAGAAGCCTTTTCCGTTTTTCGAGTATGGCAGAGCCTCTGTAGGGGAGAGGGGAGGGGGGTTGGTATACCACCCAATTTCAAGAATAAACTCAATCCAATTTAGCACGGTTAGCGTAAATTTTAGCAGTGAATGGTTCTTCAAACAACAATGCAATTTTGTACATGACAAACACAAACAAAGACACTGCCAAACCTGCTGGTTTCCCATACCATAAAGCCGAACCCAAGAAACATAAAGTAGATCCATTGTACATTGGATTGTCGTTGATATTGAATGGGAAACCTGTGACTCTTTCGTTCATCAATATTCCAAAGTAATCACCAAGATAGGTACCAGTTACACCCAATGCCCACATTGAGGACACCACCAACACATTACCAAATGCAAAAGCAGCAATTGCCAACAGTTTGATGACAACAGAATCAATCAATGGTTGATAGGTTGGTTGATTTAATAGTAAATTGTGATACACCGAGTCACGATAGATCCCCAATGAAAAGATGGTGAATGCCAAAATGTAGCAGCCAATTTTGGCTGATCCCCCGGCCAATTTAGTCAAGAAGTGGGTGTTGTATTCCAAACGAGCAACCGTGTTCCAAAAGATGGGATTGAATGCAATTGTTGCCAATGCAAAGTAAAATTGATCATTAAAGTTGATGTAGTGGGGGAAGTTGCGTAATAGGAATTGAAGATCCTGTGATAAGGTGGATAAATCTAAAGACATGTTTGGTTTTAAAAAGGGCTTGCAATGATATCTGTTTGAATGTTGTATATATATATATGTTGAAGATTTTGATATAAGAAAATAAAAAAAAAACACGGGGCATACATAATAATATACATTTTGTAATTCACTTAATGTATCTCTCTCTCTATCTTACTTTTCTTACACGTAGATAATACCAATACAGTACAAAACTATTCCATTTATGTTTGCAACACAATCAATCAACTCATTGGATATATATTTATATATGTCCTTCACACAACGCATCACTTGATACTCAACTACTACTGCCTTCTAAACTGTATATATATATATGTATATATGTATATAGTAGAACTTAGTTGTACATTGACTATTACACAGAAAAAAAAATCAACAACAAAAACAAAAATAATCACATGCAAAATCTTTCTCTCTCTCTCTCTACCCAACATTTACTGTGTTTGGTCTCAGTATTATTAACCAGTATTATTATGCAAGTGTAGCACACAACACACGATACTTGACATAACACTCATGAACAAACGAAATCATTCTTGTAACTACGCTGACTATACTGTACTGAACTCATCCTCTGTGTATCTGTATATATATATTTCGCCTCTCTTTCTTTTGGTCCTTTTTTACAACTCCAAGACTATATGCATCTCCCATAAGCAGGTGAAAAATACAAGGTTTAATAGTGCGTGCACAACTTTGCAATGATTGGATCTTGTCTCCTTTGAGACATGATTATTAAGATAACAGAACCCAGTAGCAAGAATGAAGTACATCATATAGGACTGTTGTGTTGGGCAAAATGAAGATAGCTGCGAAACAAAATTGGGTGTCGCAAATTATTCGCGACACTTAACGATTAACGTGACACAAAAAAGGATCAATCTTCTTTAAGAAAAAAGAAGGAGCTGTAATATCCATAACAAGGGCATTCTCAATAGCCAGTATCCTTTTGCATATGTGCTTTCATTTACAACAACATGGAAAAGGAGTTCTCACCGATAACATTAAGCGGAATAGAATACGAATCCACGCCGATAAAAAGAAATGAAGATGATCACATCGTGGTTGATGAGTTTTTGACTGCCAGGGACGAAAACACCACCATCTCAATTGATGGCGATGAGTTGGGCAGGAAGCAAAACGACGACGTGACAGATTACAAGTATGCACCTGCTATGAACGCGTCTACTGGGCTTGCAGATCCATTGGAGATGGCCGACACAAGTATTTCTGCAATACGGAACCGAAACACAGACACAGATGAACATTTCAAAAACACAATCTCGTACAAGAAAAGCAGTCCCAACCAGTTTTCAACTGCATCACTCGACCCATACACACCTTACGTTTTGGGTTTGTATTTTCAACTAGTTGTCAATATCATTTTGTGGTCGTTTGTGATCTACTTTATATATGTGGCGATAACTACTGTGCAGTCCGACATCAATCTCAAGATAGACGAGTTTACAATTAGGATACTAGACGAGATTGCAAAGTGCTCAAAAGAATTCACCAGAAACAAGTGTCACTTATCTGATCGGCCCTCAATCATGGATGAAGAGTGCGATCAATTGGAAAGATGCCAAAACCAAGATCCAACAAAAATTGCCAGGCTGAAAGTGACGATCGAACTAATTGCTGAAATTATCAATTCATTTGTAAATCGGTTGAGCTACAAGAGTTTGTTCATCATGATGTTTGTTTTGATTATTTTCATTATCCATACCGCCTTCACTTTTGAAAAGTTCTCACAATTCAAACAGAAGAGAAGAGACTGACGAGATCCTAAACGGGGGAAGATGGCTATCAGTTTGGTTGGCTGTTTCTAGAAACCTCAATCGTCAAAGATTGTATTGTTGTCAAGTTGGTAGTTTTCAACGTATATACACTATGCAATGTTGCGGTCAGCAGAGTATGCAGAACGGCAATTGAAGAACCCGGATCAGAGTTTTTATACGCGAGATGAGTTCATGTTGATACTGGGGGTTTTACATTTGGCAGTGTGTCATATATGGTGGAAGCAATTGCAGCTGCAATAAACGTATTTGTTACACCTTATAACCGTACATAGACACGGAATAGATAACCATTACTTAGCCCGCTCTCTACTCGCTTGCTTTTGACAAAGTCTGTAGTTGATCAGCTCGAAACCCTCTGCAGCATCGGTCTCAAAAAGGAAAAGGTCGTGTGGTGATCATAAAAATTACGTACCCCCACGCCGTCAATTCTTTTTTCTTCATTCACAAGGACGTCAAGATTTTTACACACTTCCATAAAAAGGGACTCCGATTCATCAAGCATGGCAAGATTTGACTACGATCCTGCCTCATTCTCCAAAATCACTTACAACATCGGTGGTATATCAGTCCATGTATACAATAGTGATGCTTTAATACCATACATTGAGGCCTTTAACAAGTCGCTGGTTCATGTGGATGAAATCCCAATCAATGTCAATTACTTGCTCCATGGCCGTACAAGAACCTACAAAGACTCAGAGGCCATTGCCTATAATATCTTGAGGCAGGTTGAAGAGAAAAGAGAGCATAAAGATGCGGTTCCCTTAATATGTGTTGCTTTTGATCTAAGAAATCATGGTGAACGCACAATTGATGCATCCAAGAATGACGATTGGTTACGAGGTAATCAAACACACGCAGTTGACATGCTCAGCACCATTATGGGCAATGTGCAAGATTTGAAGGTACTCATTGATTTCTTACCGGACTATTTGAACTTGGAGTCGTATTTGACCAATGAATTCAAATCAAAGAATCAACATTACAATATCAAGCATCGCAACATTATTTCAGGCTATTCTTTGGGTGCGCATACTGTTTTCCGGTTTGCAAACGAGTATCCTGATTTGGTTTACGCAATTAACCCAGTTATTGGATGTGTTGATTTATCAAGTTTATTGATTAATAGACTCAAACAGAATGATGTATCGAGTACTGACTATGACAAGAGGTGGTTTTATTACAGCTATGACGAATTGAAATTGTCGCCTGGGCAAGAGACAGCACAGTATCCAGAACACTTCCATAAGGTGCTTTCCAAACAAGATGAATCTGTTTGGGAAAACTTTGCCATGAATTCAATCAAGATGCATGCTAGTTTTGGCCAGGAAGATAAGTTGGTGCCCCATAAATTGAGTTCAGTTTGGTGTGACTCTTATTTGAATACTAATGGCGATACAGAGGTTAATGTTTATGAAGGTGTTGGGCATGACGTTCCTGAAAAAATGGTTGAAGATTTTACTACGTGGTTAGTCAAGTATATTTAAATCTGGTTGAACCTAGACATTGGGATATAATGGACAATTAGTAATGTCTAGAACATCTCTATAATGTGAAATCTTTGAATCGAATTGAGAAAAGTGGTCAGAAATGGGGAGTACACTCGCTTTTGGTCATCGCTTTCAGTTCTCACTTTACAAACACTTACTCTTGAGCTCCACTTAGTCACTTCCTCTGCAAGCTATATGATTTCCCTGCATCTAGCGGTGTCTATAGACATATAAAAGTTGTCATCAACCCTTTTCTACCCTTGCGGGCATGTGACATACGTGTGACATTAGCGTGCTAATCATGTGCTAATCATGTGCATTTGATACTATTGGTTGTTTCAGGACAAATTTTTTCTTCGTGAATTGGTTTAGTGGTGTAGCGGCTATCACGTTTCGTTTACAAATTGTGTTTACAATTGTAAGCTCCGAAAAGGTCCCGAGTTCGATCCTCGGCTAGATCACACTGTTTTTTTTGCTAAAAATCTCTTCATAACCATCAACTGAAGGAGAGGGAATACTCATACTCATCTGCCAAAAGAGACGTTGTTTAGTCTCTCTTCAATGCTATCACTTCATGCGACAAATTGTTGTGGAACTGTTGGCTTATATTTTAGCATTTGCAGCCAACATTTGCGCAAAAGTTGTACCAAATTTAGTTTTCAACAAACTACAAAGGAAAATGTCAAGAATTTTATTTCTGTATTGATCAAAACTATATAGAGAAAATTAGAGTACATCAATGTCTCAACTATCAACAAGGAGTGTCAAACCCTTTTTTTTATATATTTTTCCATTGGAAATTCTTGGTATCCGGCACCAAGGATTCCACTTGACTCTTCCCTCTTAGGTATCCACACTTTTCTCCGAAGAAGTCCTGCCTAATCGTGCTCTGGGGCCAATACTATCATCCAATGCCGGGGCACTGGATGTGCTCAAATCCACCGAGCCAAATTGAGCTGGTTGAGTTCCATCTAGAGCATTTCCATTATCATTAATCTCTGGCTTGTCTTGTGCAACGTCAGCAGTGGACACTTTCCTGGGCAACCAGTAGTTGTTGTTGCTTGTTGAATTATGGTAATTGTAAAAGCTTCCAGTATTCACTTGAGAACCAGCAGAATAACGACGTCTAGTGTGTCCACCGTTAAGTTTTGCACCTATTGAGGTGAAAAAGTTGTCGAATAAATCTGGCATTGTATAGTCGTGAATTGAGTGTATCGTTGGAAGAAGAAGAAGAAGAAGCAGAAAGAAGGGTGAAAAAACATTACAACTAGAATCTACGTGATTTGCTGTGAGTTATATACGGGAAAGAAAGGGGCGGATGGGTAAGTAATTAATGATCAGTGGAGAATGGGAAACAGGGGAGGGGAGGGGGGGGTACATTTTAGTACTGTTGTCACACACACACTGCAAAAAACAAATAAACGGAGTTTTGTTATATGCAGTACCAGCAGTAGATAAAAGGGAAAAAGACACTGTACAAATATGCGGGGATTCTTTTCACTTTGTTACAAATAACTTATTACACTCACTCATAAATTAGAGGGGAGCAATAAACGTGTGTATGTATGTATGTATTTATGTGGGTCTCACTTTTGTCTTCGAAACATAGTGAATGATTATCAATCAGAATATAATATAGAAAGCTACTGCATATAAACCATCCCTTATCGCAGTAATATTGCAAAATTGCGTTCAATACGGAAATTGTTGCTACGACTGCCACAGTTTCACTGTAGTTTGGGGAAGCTGGTGCATGTCCTTAAATATGTGGCTACATTTACTGCCAAAAATTGTTGTCAAATGACGGGATGGCTACTCGGCATCTCACAATTTTAGTGCCAAAACAAGTAGCATTCCCTGAAAAACGGTATGTCATTACTGGTGCATATCTCCAACTTCTTTGTGAGTGACGGTCTTCCACAATGGAGACAACAAGTACACATTCGATAACGTACTTCTTCTGTCAACAATTGCACAAAGAGAGTGAGTAGAGGTATCTGGGGTCCTACAAGGGTTTAATTACGGGCTGCCTCCCGTACGTAGCTTAAGCACATCAAAACGACGCTTCTCTAGACAATTTCGAATTCATACAAAACAAATGGTTCGTAATCGGTGTCCACCAATGAAGCGTACTCGTGCAAATTGGCCTTGTTTGAATATCCGTCTCCACCAAGGTACCCAAATTTTTCAATCAACTCCTTTTTGGCTTTACCAACACTCTTTAAGTTGGAACCTTCAAATTTAAGTAAAAAGTTATCAAATTGAGGTGGTAAACCATATCTCAATACTGCCTCGACATACACCCTAATAACTTTAATGTGAAACCAGCTTGCAACTATGTCCAGGTACGCCGTCTTGCTCAATCTTATGAGGTCGTTCTTCAGCTTCACTTCGGCTGCCTTTGTAGTATCGAATTCCTTTCTCAAGTTGTTGAGTACTTCATCGTCGTAAACAAAGTCGGTACGAGGATGCCACTTGCGTTCTCGTGCATTGTTGATGAATTCTTGTTGATACTTTTTGAACAATGTAACAGCAAACAAGGTGAAATCTTTATCCTTCTCAATTACTTCGGCTGACCTGGGTATAACAAACGAAGTCAAAGTTTCGTAATTGTTTTTGAAGTCGGACACAAGATTGTTGGGAACAGCAACTGGTAAGGTGATCAAATGCTCTGAATCCTGCACAAATTGCTCTGGCTTAACAACATCATGCAATGACTTGATTGACAAGTCACCGTTTTTCTTTCTATCTGCAGCCAAAAAGTTGGATTTTGCCGTTTGATAAGCCTGGTAGGAAGCCCTAACATCATTATCTAAAGCCAACGCTTCGTTGGCAATTATCTTTACCAATTGGCTGATTGGCTTGTCCAACCTATATTTCGATGAATTCCATTGAAAGTTTTGTACATAGTCAAATACCGATCTTGACTGAACAACACGAGAAGGGTTCTTGGATTCATTAACACTGTTCACGATATCAACAACCTTTGACACGGAGGCACCTAATTGTTGGTCAATCTTGCTAATTTCCTCACTCTCTTGGACAAGCGAATCCAATGTCCCACTTTGGAAATCAGGCACGTTCAACTTGAACAACGGTTGTTTACCATTGTTCAATGACTGTTCTAACCATTGCTGAGCATTCGTTGATTGAGGTAAAGATAGAATCAAATATTCTGCAAGAAGTGGTTGCAGGTTTCCAGATGACATATTGTTGTTGTGCAGAGGGGAGAGAGGGGGAGGTGGAGGGGGGGGGCAGTCAGAAACTTAATTGACTTGTTGAACGACGAGTCTGATTGCTCGGAAATGGACACACAAAGTAGTGTTCAAATTGATACAAGCGTACACGACCTTACATTATATACGTTTAGCCACTCAAGTGCACCACGAGAACTTGCAAAGAATAAGTAAGAAGTCCATTTTGGTAGTAAAGTACTGTATTCACGAAGAGATCCCGTTTCGAGTCCACTGGCAGATCAATAGGAACATTTTGTAGATCTTGTTTGTGGTAGCTAGTGGTACGGTAAAGCATCGCTCTGTAGAAGAGGAAAAAAAAAAAATTATTAGTGTGTGTGTGTGTGTGTGAAGACCTCATCTTAGTTGAGAAGAGTACCCGAAGTCAATGAGCAATTCATTGGAAGTATGTCAACACAACAGTAACCTCGAGGCTGGATCTATACTAACTCGTTTCTTCAGGAAAGACTAAAAGAGCACTCGTCAGCATTTGACAGCTTATTGTCGCTAATTCCGGCAAAATATTTCTACGATGATGCCACGCAAGATCAGTGGCAGCAAAAGAAGGCTTCCAAAGAGGAGTCAAAATCAAAGAAAAAGGCAAAGTTCAATCCTTCCACTAAGGATAATGCCGACGAATATATGAACTCTTACGCAACTGCTAAGGACGTGATGGAAAATAAGCAGCAGAAGGAGAGTGAGAAGCATCTAGCATCCGAGCGGAGTGAGACACCAAACGGGTCATCAATAAGAAAGGGTAAGGAGCTCACTACGTCTGCAGATGAGTCAGAAATGCTGAACGAAAGTGGTGTTGAAGAAGAAAAGGAGGAAGAAGCATTCATTTTACCGCAAGCGAACTTGATATTTGATGACGAGGGTAATGAAATTGCAGATCAAAAGCAGGACTCAAATTCCAAGCCCAAAAAAGATGGCAAATTGCAAAAGAAACGGGAGTTGTCAGAGGAAGAAGAGGCAAAGAGGAAAGAGAACTTGGCAAAGTTGAAGGAGAGATTGGAATCAAAGATAAACAATTTGCGTGAAAAGAGGAAAGCTGTAGGAACAAAATCTGCTGGTGCTCCAACCTCTCGTGAACAAATACTCGCTGAGCGTAAGAGGAGACAAGAATCTAAGCAACAAAAAAGAAAACATGAAGAACTTGAGGAGAATGATGATAACGATGACGAAGAAGAAGAAGAAGAAGAAGAAGAGTTTGAGAATGAGAAATCCGATGACAAAGACCAAGCTGTTTTGTATGGTAATATTGCCTTTCTGGACGGTTCTCAGCTCACATCTAATTTGTCGTCCGTGCGTCGATCGGCAGATAAAAAGAAGAAGCAAGGACCGGCCAATAAAGATATCAAAGCTCATCTATTGAAGTTGGAGAAGAAGAAAAGGAAGTTGGAAAACATGTCGCAGGAGGAGCAAGCAAAACAAAAGGAAAAGGACAAATGGCTGAGAGTAATGTCCCAAGCAGAGGGCATAAAGTTGAAGGATGATGAGAAATTGTTGAAGAAAGCATTGAAAAGAAAAGAGAAGAAGAAGTTAAAGAGTGAAATTGAGTGGAAAGATCGACAACAGGCTGTCAAAGATACTGTTGCAGCCAGGGCAAAGAGAAGGGAAGAGAATTTGAAAGCCAGAAAAGAAGGTAAGGGACAAAAGCGGAAAAATCTACCAAAATTGAGAAAGTTTACAGGAGTTGTCAACAAGAGTAAGAATGGACAAAACAAGAAAAAGAGGGCAGGGTTTGAAGGAAGTGCCAAATCGAGGTCCAAGAAGTAGTTGTATGTAGTAAGAGAAAGAGATAGCGAGAGCGTGTGTGTACATAATACAATGACAGTGGTGGTAGAAGATGTTATCGTGTGACTATTCTGTGTATGTGGGAGGAGGTAGCGCAATATGCAAGATGACGTCTTATCACAAAATGGGAAATCTTTGGCACACAACTTTATTTTTAGCAAAGCAACTGTGTCAAGACCTTCTTCCAAAAGATGGCATCTCTACTTTAAGTTTAGCAGTTGGTGTTTGCTTACTCGATGTGTAGATGTAGGTGTATATAGGCGCGTGTGTATAAATATAGCAACACAGTAGTACAACCAACTGTGTGTATATGAATGTGAGTGAGAGTTTTTATTGTTGTTACAGATTTGGTTTTTCTTTTTTCTTTATTTTTTTTTTATTTTCATGTATTCTGAATTGTTTTGTTTGCTCCCTGAATTTTAATTTTAATTTTAATTTCAATTTCAACTTCAACTTCTTTTCTTTCGTCTTTTCGGCAACTTTTTCTTTACATTTTCCACTTTCTTTCTTCTTTCAACAAGATTTCAACCATCGAAAGCTATATACTTTTATATCATCCACTTTCAATCAATTAACTATTATACACAATGGCAGGAATTCCAGATCAATTGAAAGCCGTCTTATCCGAAGTCGACAAGGTATGTTTTTGACCCAATTTGTCCCTCTGTCTTTGTTTTTCCACAGGGGGGACGGTGTGAGTTCAATTGGCAATGTAGCCTCTAGCAGAGGCTTTTTTTTTATTTTATTTTTTTTTTTCTGGTACTGGTGGTAGTAGCGGTACTATATTAAGTGCCTAAACTGACTATCAATTGACTCCTTCTATTTTTGATCTTTTGCCATTTGGGCCATGTCTAACATATACTAACTCCCTCTATAGAACACCAAGTCAATTGGAATTTTAAACCAATTTCAAGCTCAAACAGGTTTGCCAAGATCATATGCTGTTTTGGGTGCTTTTGGTCTCTACTTTATTCTCATTTTCTTGAACATTGGTGGAGTTGGTCAACTTTTATCCAACATTGCCGGTTTTGTTGTTCCAGGATACTACTCAATTTTGGCTTTACAAACAACCACATCCAAAGATGACACTCAATTGTTAACATACTGGGTTGTTTTTGCCTTTTTCAATGTGATTGAGTTTTGGTCCAAGGCCATTTTGTACTGGGTGCCTTTCTACTACTTGTTCAAAACTGTCTTTTTGTTGTACATTGGTATTCCAAGCTTTGGAGGTGCTAATGTGGTTTACAATGTTGTCATCAAGCCAATTGCTGACAAGTATGTGCGTCCAGTCCACGAAAGTGATGTTGCCAGCAAAATCAATGAGCATGCTGAAGGTGTGTCAACTTCTGTTCACATCTAGGTACAGAGAGATATATTTCCTATGGAGAGAAGTTGAACGGTTATTCCTATGACTGAGGCTGTTCATGAAATGAAGGAGGAATAGAAATGTGTGTTGATTAAGATGTGGGTGCTTTTGGATCTGCTTTACTCGATATACAAGGCAGGAATTAAGCCAATGCTACTTCTGAGTGATGATTTAGATAGAGCTAGTTGTAATGCATACGTTTCATTGCCTTCTTTTCCTTTTTTTTTTTTTTTTTTTGTCTTTTTTTGTGTTTCTGTATACATTGTAGTAAGGCTCTTTTTTTAAAGGTAAAAGCATTCAACATCTTCCAACCCAGTCAAGGTGAATAAAGAAACTTTTTTCATTTTGGTGAATGGCAGTTTAGCTGCAAACTTCAGTAGTTTGTGATCCCACTTTATTTTCCTAGTGTACGGAGTAAATGTAGTTAATGTGGGATACACTTTTACAGCAACTGTTTCGCCGGCTAATACTGGACATGTATAATAAATGGAAGTGCTTGTGGAAAATTCAAATTCGGGAGCAAAAGTTATCCCTGATGAGATACCAATAAAAGCAATGAATCCAAGATATAACGACATTTTTGAGTCGTATTCGCTGGATACTTTCTTTAATCTTCCCGTTGAATATGCAACTTCACCCCTTGCACTGTCATCTTCCACGGTCGATAGAGTCTGTACTTCTATCGCTCTTGCACTCGATTGCTGTATTATTTCTGAGCCGTGTAGCTCAATCCAATTCTCTGGTGGTGTAGCGGCTTCTTTTCCTGGGAAAAAGAGTGTGTGTTGGGAACTGGGTGCAGCAACATGATCAACTTTCAAGTCGGGATCTCCATCGTCGGGAAAGACCAAAGTATCTAGATCAGTGAGGTGTACCACTAGATGTTGCAGGTTCAAAGTGTGGTTGATTTTGTATAGAAATTGGTGCATATTTTGTTGCAAATCCTCCAAGTTTTTAAATTGATGAATTGAAGGAAGGTCTCTTAAATCTTCCAATTGTGTAACTGGTGTTTCTTCAAGAGAGTGCAGTTGGATGTGGGGAGAGTAGAAGAAAGTAGTGATTGCTATTATCCAATGTATTGCAATTGATGTAGAATGCATTCGGGACGTGGGCCAATTTAAAGTTGAGGTTATTGACGTTTTTTTTAGGTAGAGAAAAGTGGTTTTGTAGTGGAGTTAACCAGTATTAAGTTTTGCCAGATTTTTTTTTCTTTTTACCGTGCTTCGCCGTTGTCACCAAAAAAGAAAGTCTCAAATAATGACTCTGGGGTCGTGTAGCCATTTGCTGTTGTCTTCATCTGACCCGTGTGATTGTAAACCCGCAATTTGATTTGACATTTTCCAAACTTTGATTATAAAAACGTGAGTGAGTTTTGAAACTAAAACGGGGGGGAGGGAGGACACCTGTGCCCATCTAAGCGTAGGATTATCATCAAAGATGAACTGGGTTATATAGGACCGTAGTGGAGTCCTTGTTTCAGAAGGTATATATGCTAGCTGCAAATAAACAGGTACCAAGTAGGAAAGCCAATACTACTACTACTACACAGAACTCTACACAATGAGCACATCTTTTAGAGAGAATGCAGATCAGTATTGTAGTGCTATATAGGGTGCAGATCAAGTGTTTCACGTATTCTGTATACGTTCATAAGTATGTGCTTTTTTAGTGATGCCATTTGATAGGAAAAGATCCTTTGTCATCCAAGAGTATAGAATATGCCATTATGGGAGGGGGGTTTCTATAAATGTCTTTGTTTACGAGATGGCTGGTTGTTGTTGTTGTTGGGGTGGTGATGCTATTGTCGAGTAAGGACCAATTTGAGCATTGAAATGAATATAAAGTTAAAAATCGGGGCTCTTCAAAGGTAACAAAAACAACAGTGAAATGAAACAAAATCGAAAATGGAGGCGGTAATAGAAGGAAAAGAGATGCACAATTTCGCGTCTTTGTGCATATCTGTGTAGTATGCACAGCATGCTAGAAAGAACAAGAGAGAGAGAGAGAGAGAGAAACAGTATGGTGTCTTGAGGACACATGTACGGTAGTAGCAGGTGGTTTGCTTGAACAGGTGGGTTTGTGTTGATCTTGGCAGAACGTCACTTCAGTCATTGATTACTTGGTGGATGAGTAACACAAGAATGAGCATGTGAGTTATCAACGTGCAGGTAATATCTATATAATGACCTGTTTTGATTGATGTCAAAATATGGGCAGATGTTGTAACATGTTGTTGATTATGGGTATTACTAGTAGTTTCTTCACTTATATCTGACATTATGATTTAATATTATCGATGTTGTATCTAAGTCACTAAATCTATATAGGTATTCTGGGGATTCTTCACTCATATTTATATTCTCCAGAATATTCACTGTGGCACAACGAACTCCGTAGTAATTCGTTGTATGGCAAATATCGCGTTGTCTTCTGACAACGCCATCTATCAAGTATTGTGTTGTCTTCTGACAACACCATCTCTTAAGGTTCTTGGCATCACCCAACTTATGCCTCACCCAACTATCCTCTCATGGTCCATTTACCACATTGGAGGATAGTCATTAACATTTCTCTTTCTGAGATCACACTGTCAGATAGTCTCACCATCTGAGATCTCGTTACTCTGTTACATAGGACTGCAGCATTAAATCTCACGACTGCACGTTACTGCATGTCTCTGCAGCCCTTGAATCTCCTAACAACATAACAGGCTCTTAGAGAAGTGAACAAAGGTAGTTTTTACTGGTTGCAAAACCTTTATCAAAACAGTAGTTGTTTTTTGTAGAGACGGTGTATTATATAATACGTCATCAAGAAAAAAAAAAAAAGAAGAAGGATAAAAGTTAAAAAGGCACAATAATAGCAACTAAAAGTTTCTAAAATCCGTCACACAAAACTCGAGGAAAGCACTTTTTTGCACACAGACACGCCCACATACAGACACACAGACACACACACTAATTTCAATACAAAGGTATCTCTCTTTTCTATTGTTATTCTTTGCACAAGCCTTGCTCTTTTTACAGAAGAAACGTACTACACGTGCTGGTGTTTTTATACTGAATAGAAAGAAATTGAGGAGAAAGACCAACGGAGAAGACAAAGAGAAAGAGAAGAGGAGCAGTGTGATAGCTACTACTACTACTACTACTACTACTACTATTAGTACTTCTGTCACTGCCTACACTCTTTGGAATCCTGGAGATGAGAAATGTGCATATATGTTTGGATAATGATTTTGTGTGCTTTCGAAGCTTTTTTCTTCTTTTCTCCTTAATTACCCTCGGCATAGTCTACTACATTACCATAACTCATGAGCTGAAAATTCATTCTTTTATTTATAGCATTAGGTCTTTCTTTTTCATTTTTTGCTTCTTCTATTGTTTTGTGGTTGCTTGCTGTTTACAACAGAAAAATAATTGTATTGTTTTTCTTTCTTTCTTTTTATTTTACTTTCATGTATTATTATATGCAGGATGGCTGTATCCATTCAAAGTAGGTGCTCAGCCAATCAATCAAACAGATGTAAACCAAATGAGGGACAACTATCGACTATTATGTATAGTATAATACCCCACTTGCTACTCTAAGTTAGGACGCAAATGCCTGTGTATGTGTATGTGTATGTGCATGTGTATATATGCACATGTTTATATTAAGTAGCAATGCATACGGCTGAGTTATTATTTTAGTTTACAGATGGAAAGATAGTTGGAGAGGGACAATTTGTTTTTTTTTTGGTTATGTTACTGCATGGGACCAAATGTAAAAAAAGAAAGAGAATGACCTCTCTTTACTTTTGGTGTTAAAATGTATATACGCCATGTACAGAATACCATACCATACCATACCATACTCTACTATATTATACTCACTAAAAAGTGAGGTACATCTGAAACTCTTACACAAATATTATTGTATTGCTACAGTGAGATTAAGTACTACTCACTTACTAACTGTACTACTACTACTACTGCTACTGCTACTGCTACTGCTACTGCTACTGCTACTGCTACTGCTACTGCTACTTTGTTGTATATTTTAGTCACAACTGAAATTTCAAAATATAAAATTACGTAACTTACACAATAACAACACTTATTACACCTGAATTTTTTTTTTTTAAAAAAAAACAAACTTACTATTGTTATTATTATCATTATTGTTTATTATGATGTTAAGTGAATGAAGTCATCAATTGCTATTATAGAGTATATATATATAAACAGAGAGAGATCCCACACGATACATCTCCTTCTCTCTTTTGATTTACGCATACAACCACTACACAACCCACAATGGCTTCAGATCAACTGTCAAACACTTCTGTTTCCCAGTTTCTATCTACTTTGATCCCCACTCTTGTCATCGCAGTGGTATTTGTATTAATCTTCATTTTCATTCGTAAAACCCACAAGAGAGTTTATGAACCCCGTGCAATTGTCAAATCACTACCAGATGATATCAAACCAGAGGAAGCTTCTACCGGTCTTTTCAGTTGGTTAACATATCTTTTGAAACGTCCAGAAACTTTTATTATTCAATACGCTGGTGCTGATGGCTATTTTTTCCTTCGTTTTCTTTTTGAGTTTTGTTGCATTTGTATATTGGGAGCAATCATTACTTGGCCAATCTTGTTTCCAGTTAATGCCACCAATGGTAACAATAACCAGCCAAACTCAACTGTAAAAGGTTTTGACATATTGACACTTTCAAACATACGTAACAAGTGGAGAACCTTTGCCCATGTGTTTTTATCCTGGATCTTGTTTGGTGCCGTTATTTTCTTGATTTACAGAGAATTGGTTTACTACACCACTTTTAGACACGTGTTGCAAACAACCCCCTTGTATGACTCCTTGTTGAGTTCAAGAACACTCATGTTGACTGAAATCCCCACCGAAAAATTGACTGATGATAACTTGAGAGGTTATTTCCCAAGCGCAACCAATATCTGGTATGGAAGAGAATACAAGGAATTGCAAAAGGAGGTGGAAGAAAGAACCAAATTGGCTGGAAAGTACGAAGGTGCATTGAACAAGGTTTTGACAAAGGCAGTGAAATTGAAGAATAAATGCATCAAGAAGCTGAAACCAGTTCCGGAACCAGAAGATGATCTTGACAAGTATTTGAAGGATGGTAAAAAAAGACCTACTCATAGATTAAAGTTTTTGATTGGTAAGAAGGTGGACACTTTGAACTATGGCGCAGAAAGATTGGGTGAATTGAACAAGTCTGTTAGCAAAAGACAAGCTGAGTACGCCACAAATACCCAGTTACCCGCTGTTTTTATTGAGTTTCCCTCCCAACTTGAGTTACAAAAGGCCTATCAAGCAATTCCTTACAATCAAGACTTTAAGGGTGTCAAGAGGGTCACTGGTGTTGCTCCAGAGGATGTTATTTGGCCTAACCTTCAATTGACTCCTACCAAGAGAAAGATTCAAGCTGTTATTGCCAACACAATCTTGACACTTATGATCATCTTTTGGTGTATTCCAGTTGCTGTTGTTGGTGCCATTTCCAACATCAACTTTTTAACTGAAAAAGTTCCCTTTTTGAGATTTATCAACAATATGCCGAAAGTGATTATGGGTGTTATCACTGGTTTACTTCCTTCGGTTGCGTTGTCGATCTTGATGTCATTGGTTCCACCTTTTATCAAATATATGGGTAAAAAGTCCGGACGTATAACAGTTCAACAAATCAATGAATATTGTCAGTCTTGGTTTTTCGCATTCCAAGTTGTCAATGTGTTTTTGGCCGTGGCTCTAGGCTCCTCAGCTGCATCAGTTGCACAAGAAATTGTCAAGGACCCAGGTCAAGCTCTTCAACAATTATCTCAAAGATTCCCACCTTCGGTCAATTTCTACTTTTCATATCTTTGTGTTCAAGGTTTGACAATCAGTTCAGGTGTGTTGTTGCAGATTGTTGCATTGATCTTGTCTCACATATTGGGAAGAATCTTGGATAGTACTCCAAGAGCTAAGTGGACAAGATGGAACACATTGGGTCAACCTGATTTCTCAACCTTGTATCCGGCATTCCAATTGTTGACGGTTATTGCCCTTGCATACTCGGTCATTGCTCCATTGATTTTGGGATTCACTGCAATTGCTTTTGCCTTGTTCTACTTTGCATACATTTATACAATGGTATATGTGTTGAGACCAAGTGCTGCCGATGCAAGAGGTAAAAACTACGTCAAGTCGATGTTTCAATTGTTTACTGGTCTTTTCTTGGCTCAGCTTTGGATCACTGCTATCTTTGTATTTACAAAGAATTGGCCATGTGTTGCTTTGGAAGGTGTTATAGTAGTGGTTACAATTATTGCAAGAATGTGGATGAAGAGAAAGTTTTTGACTGTTGTTGATGCGGTTCCAATCTCGGCAATCAAGTATGCTGCGGGAGATACCACTTATTCTTACCCAATGTACGATCAAGGATATAAGGAGATTCAAACTGAGGGCCAAAACTACTGGGAAGGTGGTAATCAACTCGGAGCTGTTGGCGGTGAAGTACATGACCAGGTATTGCCTTATAGGAACCCTGGTGCCGGTGCTAATACCGGTGTCGCTCCAAACGCCCTTGATGGCGAATCATCATTGACCGACGCCAAAGCTCCATTTGACCATCGTGGATCCGACTCCTCTGCAGTCGATACAAGAGTTGCACACGCCGATAATAGTGAAAAGCCTTATGGGTTGGAATCTCAAGGTGACAAAGCTTCAAATGTCGACCATTCTGGAAGAAAGGATGGGCCATTCCAGGAACAGACTTCCGGCGATCATGAAAAGGGCATTGCCGGTGTGGGTAATGCCGCTAAAGGTATTGCTGGTGCTCCAGGTAAAGGTGTTTCTTGGTTGAAGATATTTTTTGCTCCTAAAACTCAAACGTTTGATATGATCAGGAACATCATGCCTAGCTCCTATTTCAACTACGTCGAATACAACCCCGAGTTTATTAGACATGCTTATTCCGACCCAGCAGTGACTGATGAAGAACCTCACATTTGGATCGCTAGAGATCCGATGGGATTATCCGAGATTGAAAAGAATAAAGCTTTGAAGGAAGGGGTTGATGTCACTGATGAGAATGCAACGTTTGACGATAAAGGAAAGCTCATATTCACTGGGCCACCTCCCACTTATGAGGAAGCAATCAGAGTTTAGAGAGGAAAGACACGTACGTCAGGGCGGTTGATTCTTTGGCTCAAGCAAGCTTATACTACTATACGAGCGTGTTTATTCTTGTGTCTGTGAAAAGTTTTCCTTTTCATTTTTACAGTACCCCCGCCCCCCTCCCCCTCCCTCAATTTCGTTTTGTGTTCTAAGTTGAGTGGATAAAGTTTGATGGTGTTTTTTTACTGTCACTATTTTTGTCCCGTTTTCAATGTATTAGTTTAATAGTTTTGTTGATTTTTGAAATTTAATATATCTTGTTTCGTTAAAGTAATCATTGTACAAATGAATCACGTGCAAAAAGTTTATCTGGAATTTCATCTTTTCATTTCTAGTTTTTGTTTCACCAAATTTACGAATTTTTTGTGCAATGTATATATGCAGTTGGTTTTTGTTTTTGTCTTTTTTTTTTATTTTTATTTTTTTTTTTTTTCGTTTCTTTTTGGTTGTTGTTCCTCAGAAGTAGAATATAGTCAGTTTGGCATCAAAAAAAAAAAAAGCGGATAGAAAGGATAGAAGTATCCCACCAAAATAATACCGCCAGCTATTGAATCTCTAATATGAATACTTCTGACATACGAGGTAAAGAGAGAAAGAGCAGGAGAACACATAAAAATTCCAGGGATGGTACGTTTCGATATAACCATAGAGCCTTAGCAAGCGTTGTCAACGTTGCGCCGTGGAAGTAGTTATGGAGCATTTCGTCTCACGCTACACATTAATACCCACAATTTGGGTACATTCCAGGACAAGACAGGACAAGAGGCATATAAGTAACACCATTCGCTGTATATTTAGAGATCATAAAGACATGTTTTACTAACATGGAAGTTTTTAGGGTGTCCCAATTGCAAGCAGAAGAGAATAAAATGTTCGGAGGAGTTGCCAGCATGTCACATTTGTATAAAGAAAAACTACCGTTGCGGATACCTTGACTATAGTGAAGACAAGTTGGAGAAGTTGCGCAAAAAGAACCGAGACAAACAGCATTCACATATCACAACCCGTGATGTGAACAATTCCGGACAGCCTCATTTATACAACCATACCCAAGCCAACAACACTGACCAAGCGAGTGGTAACCTCAACTTCCATTACACTGTTTCTCAAGGAGTTGCTATTACTCAGGATCGACCGCCTCACGAGTTCACTCATTCAAGCGAAAACCAGGCGCCAAGTCAGCAACTTGCACACCCCCCACAACCCACGGTGTTTACCAACGATGGACCAGCGAGGATTGAGCCACCACAAGGCTTCAACTCCGATGCAATGAGCGGAAGCTTTTCCCAGACCTACCCACTCAACCAGGCCCCCCTTATGAACCAAAACACATCGGAGATTGTGCACGGCGACAATCTTGTCGTGATATCCCCATTCACCGGTCAAAACATGTCGATAGATTCGTCCCCGTACTCAGATACACCAAACAATGTGGACCAACTATTTTCAAGTTATTTTCCAACTTTTATTCCCAACCAATCTATAAATTCAACAACTCCACCAAATATCTTTGAAAATGCTGTGGAGAAAGACTATAACCACTTCAACAATGCTCCACTCGGGAATGAAGATTTGAATTTGGTGGTGTTCACTGATTCAATAAGAAAATTATCCCATTTTGCACCACCAGAACTATACGTGGCTCCTGAATTCACGGAAGTGACCAATTCCAACATAGACCAAAACAGTGAAGAAGCCTCACAAAAGCAATGGGACGATGTTGGTATAACAACAAGCCATTTGGAGCGGGCGCAAGATGATATAAAGCCCCGAATGATACATTCACGTCGTAGCGGGGAAAACGGCGATGAAGACGGTGGGGGCAACAGTGGATACCTCGAAAGTAGTGCCATGTGGCTGTCAGATGAACCATTGCCAAATGCAAAGAGATCTAGCATTGTGTTCAAAGTATTGAAACACCCAGATCGTATAAAAAGGTTATTTACAACAACAGCAAACAAATTTCGACCTGAACCAAACCAGTACTCGTTGCTGCTACGTCATCCTGACTGGACTAGAAAGAATAACAACGACTTGTGGACTATTACACTCGGTGAGGCACTTTCTTCGAACCAAGCATTCTGTTTATTTTTTATCGATCGTGGGCTTTGCGTTATCTTGAGAGTGTGTGACAAATCGGTGAAATCGAGCAGCAGTGTCTCCTGTTTTACTCCAGAAATACAGCGAATTTTGACAAGAAAGTCGTATGCCTATTTCGGACGTATAATCAAAAATTTGAGGGAGTCTGTCAATGAGGTTGATATTCAGACCACAACAATTGGATCGTGGTACGCAGGATGGTCTCTGGTTCTTCAAAAACGAGCCAGTGTTAAGTCAACAACTCTATTTTATGGTGGCTCCGCATCACTCTTGTGGAGTTGTTTAAGTGAATGTAAAGACTTCAACGACCTTGACCCACGATTGAGATTCATAACGTATGCTGTTAAAAATCATACATCTTGTGCAGTTATTCCTGACTACAACATAAGCGTGATTTCAAACATACAGGAGACATTTTTGACGATGAAAAAGTTTATAAACTACAACACAGACTTGACAAGCCCCAATAATGGATACATTCTCAAGTACTTTGTCGAGTTGGAAAAGTTCCTAGACTATTTACTCGAAGATTTGCATCCACGTTTCGTCTACATAGATCAATTTTACAAGGGGAAATACAAGGTTGGCAACAAGGATGAGCTTGGTATACGGTATTTTTCGCCATCTTTATTCCATGAGCTCATAAATCGTTGGCTCAGAATTATACCCAGTCATGCCCGCTCCATCGGAAGAGAAATGTCGCCTCTCAAGCGCACGTTCTATCTTTTCTACATTGCCATTGCTAAATCTTTAGCAAACGTGTTTCCCATCATTCGGAGTGCCTTTTTGGTCGACACATGGGATGCGTTATATCCACAAACTGATTTTGACTACAGCCTTTTTCAAATCCAAAGAGATAGAGTGTCTGACGAGGCTCAGTACAACTTTTTATCCAACTGCACCTCCAAACTATTGCGGATAATAAAGTTTTTCAACACAAGGCAACAAATAATTGCTCACGTATTGTCAGCGGACACAGTACTTACATCTGGAAAGTGCTTCATTGAATCTGTACAGTCAGAGCATGATGAAAGTAGGGAACCAATGCAAGATATAGCCGTCATGACCCCGGAGAAAAGGGAATTCGGAGAAGTTATGTTGAAAAACTTTACCATAAATACAATCTTGAATATTTCGAATTACCCGAAATTGGTGGAGTTTGGCAGTAACCTGCCCAAGGGCTCTGACTTGCGAAAAATGGTGGAACGTGAGAATCATAGACAGAAAGTACGCATTGAGGAGTACAGGGCAAAATACAGGAACGCTAGTGGCACGTTTGAAGACAATAAGGACCACAAAACTAATGTGAACCATGCATACGACTTTGATTTTGATAAAGGCATGTTTCTGTTTGATTATGCTGTAGAGCCTATACTTACACATTATTTCAAAGAAATCGAAAGGGTATCACGAAAAGACAATGTGTCGATAGAGGAGCTAGAAGGACAAATATCAAATTTTGAATTATCTTTCAAGAACATGTTCCATAGCATTGAACTTGGTGCCAATAATTAATACTGCCTTACACTAATTCAAGGTCCAGAAAGTCATGCAGCAAAGATCTTGCGCTTTTATTTTGAATCGTTTCATGGGCGTAAGGAGATCCACATTGTTCTACGCCCGTTCCCGTTCAATTTCCAAGACGATCCCAATGTGGAATGAGCCTTTTCGCCTTGCTTCAATTTAGAAGGAAGATACTTTTGATCTTGGCGAGACGAAAAAAACTGCAAGAGAACACCTGACTATACGTGTTTCAATCATGGTTAGCATCGCGAGCTACATACATGGATGCAACGAAATGCGTGCGACCGCAAGAAACATTTTGCTGAATCAATTCAGTCAAATACGTCTCACGCCTCCTAATTGAAAGCTGCTTCTGCAATGTTGAATACAAAAACGCTATTCGTTGATTGCATCCTATGTCAAGAGATTGACTTACAGCGATCATTGAAGAAAATAGCTGGGGCTTACTGTCAATTTTTGTTTCAACGGTTGACCATTGAAAAATATAGGAACGAGAGCGCTACGAACATGCAGATGAAGTCCACCGGATGATTGGCTGACAATAACTTGAGCTGAACCAATATATAGTATGGAAGAGAATACAAGGAATTACAAGAGGACGTTGAAGAAAGAACCAAAATTGGCTGCAATGCTCTGTGTTTGATGATCTTTCTCCGGAGAGGGGAGAGGGGGTGATGATGATACTATGCTATTGGGTTAATCGTGAGCTACTCTACGTTAAGTAACTGCTCATGCACAAACAGACCGTGATAAGTCAACTTTGAATATGAAACAGAGCGGTTTTTCGCCGATTCCAAAAAGTCGATGTGGGGAAGAAACTGAAGGAAGTCAACATTTGGTCCTCTCACACGTGGACGCAAATACGGGCCCATACTCTACTCTGTCCCCTGAAGAGTTAGAAATACATCGTTGAATGCAACTAGT